ACATAGCAACTCATTAACGAACAAAAAATTGGATTTAATAGTGAAAAAAGAATTAATTCATATTGGATTTGATAAATAGGAATGAAATTTTTCAAAACCGATTTGAATTGAAGTCATCTTCATCATAACACGAAATTCATTTCATTGATACATGGACCCCTAATTCCAATATTTCCGAATCTTTGATAAATGGATTCTATCCTGTCCCTCAACTCAATTCTTATTGATCTTCATCCTTTTTTACTCAATTTCCGGATTCATTCGCATTTTTGTATTTCCCCAACTTAGTGTGAAATACAAATATACCCAATTTCATCTTCTTAACACTGAATGAAAGTGAAAGAAATAAGGTGTTCATGCCCCCCTGTTCCAGCAAATCAATTCTTTCCACAAAGTCTTCTATGTTTATTTTGGTTTCTTTCGCATTACTTCGTTTTATTTTCTATTTTGTTGAATTCTATAGATTGGTGATTGGAATGAACAATTTAGAAATCAAAAGGATGAATCAAAAAATTGTAAGGAATTCTGAAAGATGGGAAGATCCTTTTTGATCGAATCATATCATTCCATTATATTGACAATTTCAAAAACTGTTCATACTATGAACATAGTAGAATGGAAATCGGGCAAGGAGGCCCCCCATCGTCTAGCGGTTTAGGACATCTCTCTTTCAAGGAGGCAACGGGGATTCGACTTCCCCTGGGGGTAGGGTACTACGAAAGGAAATGGATGAGGGATTATCATGAAAGACTAAAATGAATTCTTCCTGGGTCGATGCCCGAGCGGTTAATGGGGACGGACTGTAAATTCGTTGGCAATATGTCTACGCTGGTTCAAATCCAGCTCGGCCCAAAAATATTTCTGGATCCACCATGAAATGATATAACCCATTTGGTGTTCTCTAAAAATCACCAATGGGTTCGCATACATAAGATTATAATCTTGAGTCCTATGTCTTTTTTCCAGATTACTTACATATTTTTTTCCACAAATTCGGATTTTTGCAAAACACCTATTGGGATCTGTAAGTATAAAGTCGAAGGAAAGGGTTCAAGTCAAAAAGAAAAAAATAGTCTTTTTTGTTTCCTTGATTGATTTTTTAATCAAGTTGGCAATAACGAACGGATTGCGAGTCATCCGTGTCGCTAAAGCGCAGACCCATAAAAATATGAATATATATATATAGAAGTCCGCCTTTAAAAGAGGCGTTCTCGAATCTCAAATAGAAAAACAAAGAGTTAGAATGAAATTGTAAGAATATGTGTGTATACTAGACGACTTTTTCCCTGGGATTGTAGTTCAATTGGTCAGAGCACCGCCCTGTCAAGGCGGAAGCTGCGGGTTCGAGTCCCGTCAGTCCGATGGATACAAATCCAACGGGTTCGAGTCCCGTCAGTCCCGATGGATACAAATCCAAAAAATATCAATTGATTTCGTGTATGATAAGGGAATAAAACTAAAAAAATATCATTTCAAACAGGTATCCCCCTTTTTCTTTCTTTTTTAGTTTAAGGGAAAGGTTCGGACAAAGAAAGAAAAAGGACTTTTTGATTGCATCAGCAAGTCATTTTCTTATTTGGTTTGGTATGGATAAAACATCTTCCGATGTTATACTATGAAATTCTCGACCATGAATTATTGATTTGATAGCTCAGATATTGTTATTCGTGATATTGATCCGATTTGATATCATCGAGATCCAATTTATCCCATTGAATTTAGTGACGAAAGATTTTTCATTTCTATGGGATTAAATCCCGAAGTATTTATTAGAAATTAAAGAGAAATAAAACATAGAGATTATGGAAGTAAATATTCTCGCATTTATAGCTACTGCACTCTTCATTTTAGTTCCTACTGCCTTTTTACTTATAATTTATGTAAAAACGGTAAGTCAAAGTGACTAAATTTTACTGAAACATGACTTCTTATTTCTTATCAATGCAATGATTGAAGAAAAAAATGAAAAAATAATTTCTATTTCGGGTCTTTTGTTTTTTAAGAAAATGATCAGACTACAACCAGCAGAATTCTATTAAATCCTAGTATAGTAGAAAGAAATCAAATCTATTTCTTTCTACTATATTATCTATTACAGTAGAACTAGAATGTTTTACTAAAAAAAAAAGAGGTTTAATATGGAGGAACCAATCTAGAATTTTGTTTTCATATGGATAGATGGATATCTATCTATAGATATGGAATGTCAATTCCATGGCGTCCACATTTTTCTTGATTTCATCTAAATCTATTCTATTTGTATTGGTTCCAATCAATCTGAAATAATTAAAAAGCAACGCAATTTTTATTCTTGTTATTTTCATTTTTTGATTTCAGATTCTTTTCAGAATCCCGGTAACTAATAAATAAAAAGAAATAATCTTTTGAGTATTCCAAAATTCAAATTGATTTAATTGAATAGAAATAGTAAAAAGAATTTGGTTTGGAATAGTAATCCGTTTCCCAATTATCTGTATTCCCGGGACATCAAAATGGCAACAATTAAATATATTTGGTTGATTCAAAGAGTTTTTTTTTCAATATTCTCTTTCTTATACATGGAATATAGTAAACCACTGGAATACAATAGAATTTCTAAATCCAGATATAATTTTCATTAATTAGTATTAATAAAATAACTAAAATAGTTCAAAACTGGAAGAACCCAGCTAGAAAACAATTGAGACAGTTTGATCCCTTAACTCAATGAGTATTACCGTTAGAGTCCACTTCTTCCCCATACTACAAGGGAAAGGGAAAATGTAAAAACTACCATTAAAGCAGCCCAAGCAAGACTTACTATATCCATGTAAATTATGTCTCCTATCTATATCAATATGAAGAAATTCTTTTATTAATTCTTTTTTTATTGTTTACTAATTTTTCTTGTATTCTTTTTGTTTTTATTTTTCACTAAAAATTTGATAATATCTTATAATAATAGTGGAATCGCTAGTACAGAGTCAAAAAAGTATTCCATTCCGTCATAACACCATTGATGAAACATCCAATTAGAACATCTAGCAAGTTCTTATCAGATTCGGAGTAGAATTGAGAAATTTTCAGCATAAATAAAAAATATCCTTAGAAGTAGTAAGGTAATGAATCATACTAATAGGTTGGAATACAAAGACCTATTTTTCTTTTTTTTCCCCCCCCCCCCATTTCATTTTATTTAAGTAAAAAATAAAGAATCAAGATAGATTCCTTTGCATACTCTTATTTGCATCTCTTAGTTCAATTTGATCTAATAATCCTTATTGTATCCCGATTCGTTCTCTAAAACAATTGGAAAACAGCCTATTAAATTCTTTTACTATCGATTACCCAAAAGAAAGAGTTTTCTTTTTCTTAGAATGGAAATGAAATCAAATGGAATGGAATTTTTTTTGAATTGGATGAAATGAAAATGAAATTCATAGTAAAAAAAAAATAATATGAATATCATGAAATTCAATAAATAAAAAAAATTCAATAAATAAAAAAAAAGAAATCGAATTAGATATTCAATTTCATTAATCTAACAAATATGGAAAAAATGCAGAAGCGTTCATATATTTTACATACGTTTGTATAGACGGTTTTTCTTCAATCCCTTCGCCAACTAAAAATGGAATTATATTCCCTGTCCTACCTATCCTTATCCAATCTAATTCAAGACCCAATCAGTAGACGGACACTACAGCAGTAGTAGAATGAAAAGACTTTCATTTCAAGATTGATCTATTCCTTTTCATTTCCCTACTCTAATTCATTTTTCCTTGAATCCGAGACGCAAAGATTGAAAGCATTTTAGAGAACAAATCTAGCGATGCGTAGAATTTTGAATCAAACAAGTCTCAAGAACTCTGTCCCTACACTTGCTTCCACATGGAAAAAATACTAAGTTTCTGTATCAACAAAATGGAAGAAACCCTTTTTGATTCTCTTGTCGATCAGGCGACACCCGGATTTGAACTGGGGAAAAAGGATTTGCAGTCCCCCGCCTTACCACTCGGCCATGCCGCCAAAATGATACAAAAAAATAGATCAGAATATCCTCCTCTCAAAAAAACCAACGTATACCTTTTCAGTCAAAAAAAAAAAAGTAAAAATTTCGGGACAAATAGCAACTGTTAACTACAAATTCCGGAAGAATTCAGGAATCTGAATTTCTTAATGAGAAAAAAATCGAAATTGATACATAACAAATCAATATTATTATTATATATATTATTATATATATATATATTTTTTATAATCTTTATCTATTTCCATTATAACAGGAACTGTTAATATATGTCAACCCCATAATATCACTTTTCATTGTTACACATTATATAATTGGGTATTTTCTATGTAATTATGGATTACAGGGAATTTTCAATAAATTCTCGTACTTTCATTTTTTTGCCAATTTTTCATGAAATAGATTGATGAATGAATAGAAAAAAAATGAACACAACATATTATGTCCCGAACAAATAGGACTGCAATAACGTAATAGACATATATAGATAGCTATAGCTGAAGTTAGATCTATGCATGTTTCATAAATCCAAGTCTTTTTATGCACTGCAATCCTCTCATTCTAAAAAAAAAAAAAAGGGTCAAAATATCTCTCTTCTTTGTTAATTTTCATTCTTTTTTGAACACTTGAAATGGTAAAGGGCTCAAAAAAATTGTATATTTTTTCTGATTATTTTCTTTTTAAAATCTTTCTCTCATGGAGCCAATCAAATCCTGAATTTATTTTTGGGGTATCAATCGAATTGGAATATGTAATATCATACTCTACTAAAAGTCTATTTGTTTGTTTTGTTGCAAATTCTAATTTGAGTAGCAAAATTCCTCTTTTCATAATGCGTATTTCATAGACGTAGTGAGGTAAAATTTCATGTGATTCAGTAAAGTAAAAAGAACATAAATTCCATTATTGCTAAATATATTCATGTGATTCGATGAAGAATGACAGCAAATCATGGGATATTTTCTATAAAATAAAAAAGGGGTAATCAAAAATGCTTGGGGTTGGGAATGAAGGAATGTCTACACTACCGGGATTGAATCAAATACAATTTGAAGGGTTTTGTAGATTCATTGATCGGGGCTTAACAGAAGAACTTTTGAAGTTTCCAAAAATTGAAGATACAGATCAAGAAATTGAATTTCAGTTATTTGCGGAAACATATCAATTGGTAGAACCCTCAATAAAAGAAAAAGATGCTGTATATGAATCACTTACATATTCCTCTGAATTATATATATCCGCGGGAGTAATTTGGAAAAACAGTCAGGATATCCAAGAACAAATTATTTTTATTGGAAACATTCCTCTAATGAATTCCCTGGGAACTTTTATAGTAAATGGAATATACAGAATTGTAATCAATCAAATATTGCAAAGCCCCGGTATCTATTATCGGTCAGAATTGGACCATAACGGAATTTCAGTCTATACTGGCACAATAATATCAGATTGGGGAGGAAGATTAGAGTTAGAAATTGATAGAAAAGCAAGGATATGGGCTCGTGTAAGTAGGAAACAGAAAATATCTATTCTAGTTCTATCATCAGCTATGGGTTCGAATTTAAGTGAAATTCTTGAGAACGTTTGTTACCCCGAAATTTTCTTGTCTTTCCTCAATGAAAAGGAGGAAAAAAAAATAAGGTCAAAAGAAAATGCCATTTTGGAGTTTTATCGACAATTTGCTTGTGTAGGCGGAGATCCCATATTTCCTGAATCTTTATGTACGGAATTACAAAAAAAATTTTTTCAACAAAGATGTGAATTAGGAGGAATTGGGCGGCGAAATATGAACCGAAGGCTGAATATTGATATACCCGAGAACAATACATTTTTGTTACCGCGAGATATATTGACAGCTGCGGATCATTTGATTGGAATGAAATTTGGAATGGGTACACTTGACGATATGAATCATTTGAAAAAAATTCGTTCCGTAGCAGATCTCTTACAAGATCAATTTGGATTGGCTCTCGTTCGTTTAGAAAATCTAATTATAGGAAACTATATGTGGAGCAATTAGATATAAATTGATACCGACTCCTCAGAATTTAGTGACTTCAACGCCATTAACAACCACTTATGAATCTTTTTTTGGATTACATCCATTATCTCAAGTTTTAGATCAAACCAATCCATTGACCCAAATAGTTCATGGAAGGAAATTGAGTTCTTTGGGTCCTGGAGGATTGACGGGGCGAACTGCTAGTTTTCGGATACGGGATATCCATCCTAGTCACTATGGACGCATTTGTCCAATTGACACCTCTGAAGGAATCAATGTCGGACTTATTGGATCCTTGGCAATTCACGCAAGGATTGGTCGATGGGGGTCTATAGAAAGTCCATTTTATGAAATTTCTGAGAGATCAAAAAGAATACGAATGCTTTCTTTATCACCAAGTAGAGATGAATACTATATGGTAGCGACGGGAAATTTTTTAGCACTGAATCGAGGTATTCAGGAGGAGCAGATTGTTCCAGCTCGATACCGTCAAGAATTTCTTACTATTGCATGGGAACAGGTTCATCTTCGAAGTATTTTTCCCTTCCAATATTTTTCTATTGGAGCTTCCCTCAATCCTTTTATCGAGCATAATGATGCGAATAGAGCTTTAATGAGTTCTAATATGCAACGTCAAGCAGTTCCTCTTTCTCGGTCCGAAAAGTGCATTGTTGGAACTGGATTGGAACGCCAAGTGGCCTTAGATTCGGGAGTTCCCGCTATAGCCGAACACGAGGGAAAGATCGTTTATATTGATACTGAGAAGATTATTTTATTTGGAAGTGGGAATGGTCTAAGTATTCCATTAATTATATATCAACGTTCCAACAAAAAATACTTGCATGCATCAAAAATCCAGGTTCAGAAGGGTAAATGCGTAAAAAAGGGACAAATTTTAGCAGATGGTGCTGCTACAGTTGGTGGTGAACTCGCTTTGGGAAAAAACGTATTAGTAGCTTATATGCCATGGGAAGGTTACAATTCTGAAGATGCTGTACTCATTAGTGAGCGTCTGGTCTATGAAGATATTTATACTTCTTTTCACATACGGAAATATGAAAATCAGACTCATGTGACAAGCCATGGTCCTGAAAGAATCACTAATAAAATTCCACATCTAGAAGCGCATTTACTCCGAAATTTAGACAAAAATGGAATTGTAATTCTGGGATCTTGGGTAGAAACGGGCGATATTTTAGTGGGTAAATTAACGCCTCAAATGCAAAAGAATCCTCATATGCCCCGGAAGATAGATTATTACGAGCTATACTTGGGATTCAGGTATCCACCTCAAAGGAAACTTGTCTAAAACTACCTATAGGTGGTAGGGGCCGAGTTATTGATGTGAGATGGCTCCACAAAAAAAGCGGATTCTAGCTATAATCCAGAAACAATTCATATATATATTTCACAGAAACGTGAAATCAAAGTAGGTGATAAAGTGGCCGGGAGACATGAAATAAAGGTATCGTTTCAAAGATTTTGTCTAGACAGGATATGCCTTATTTGCAAGATGGAAGACCCGTTGATATGGTCTTCAATCCATTAGGGGTCCCTTCTCGAATGAATGTAGGACAGATATTAGAATGTTCGCTCGGATTAGCTGGGAGTATGCTAAATAGACATTATCGAATAGCACCTTTTGATGAGAGATATGAACAAGAGGCTTCCAGAAAACTTGTGTTTTCTGAATTATATGAGGCCAGTAAAGAAACATCGAATCCATGGATATTTGAACCCGAGTATCCGGGAAAGAGCAGAATATTTGATGGAAGAACGGGGAATCCTTTTGAACAGCCCGTTATAATAGGAAAGCCTTATATCTTGAAATTAATTCATCAAGTTGATGATAAAATACATGGACGTTCCAGTGGACCTTATGCACTTGTTACACAACAACCCCTTAAAGGAAGGGCCAAACAAGGAGGACAACGGGTAGGCGAAATGAAGTTTGGGCCCTCGAGGGATTCGGTGTTGCTCATATTTTACAAGAGATGCTTACTTATAAATCTGATCATATTAAAGCTCGTCAAGAAGTACTTGGAACTACAATTAGTGGAGGAACAATACCGAAACCTGTGGATGCTCCAGAATCTTTTCGATTGCTCGTTCGCGAACTACGATCTTTGGCTCTGGAACTGAATCATTTCCTTGTCTCTGAGAAAGACTTTCAGATTCAAAGGAAGGAAGTTTAATTGGACTGAATCCGAAATTTTATTTTATGATTGATCAGTATAAACATCAACACCTTCGAATTGGATCAGTTTCCTCTGAACAAATAAGTGCTTGGGCAAAAAAAATCCTACCTAATGGAGAAACAGTTGGGGAGGTAACAAAACCCTATACTCTTCATTATAAAACCAATAAGCCTGAAAAAGATGGATTATTTTGTGAAAGAATTTTTGGGCCTATAAAAAGTGGGATTTGTGCTTGTGGAAATTATCGAGTAATCGGAGATAAAAAAGACCAACCTCAATTTTGTGAACAATGCGGAGTAGAATTTGTTGATTCTCGGATACGTAGATATCAAATGGGGTATATCAAATTAGCATGTCCAGTAACCCATGTGTGGTATTTGAAACGTCTTCCTAGTTATATCGCGAGCCTTTTAGATAAACCTCTTAAAGAATAGAGGGTCTAGTATACTGCGATGTGTGATTTGATAAAAATTCTTATTGTACAGATTTCGAATGAAAAAACTGTCATTCCATTCAATTAATATGGAATGTCCTATATCTGGCATGTCTCTTGGGATGAGTAACATGAAGCTCAGAATTCAATTCATGGGTGTATTGAATACTCCCAATAAGGGAGTTGGTCTATGGTCAATTCAGTAACAAAAAACTCTTTATACTGTATGTACCTTGTGAAAAAAAAAATACTTTTTTGTGGAATTCATTATTCCATCTCTTTTTTTTTTTTTTATTTTAAAAGAACTAAAATTATGTTCAAAGAATAAAATATATCATGATTGCAGAAGTTTATCTATCGCATATAGGCTTTAAGACATCGTGGCATACCCGTCGAGGTGACGTCTTGACCTAAAAGATCAAACGGTATGATACAGAGACAAAGAAATCTCTTATGAAGTCGAAGATATTCCTTTTTTATTAAGAATTTCATTTTAGAGGATTCCTCGTTCGAAGGGAGGTAGACTACTCAAGAATTTTACATTTTATTTCTGTCGGAATTTCGAATTGCATAAAAAATTCAGAAAAACCGAAGAATGTATCAATGAAATGTTGCTTGGTCTTTATTGATAACTTGAGTCAAGAGTAAACCTTTTTTATTTTATATTTAGATTAGAGGTTTTCAAAAATATGAAAGCGGAAACCCCTTTCTTTATCTTTAATTGTGTGTAAATACTTTAGCCGGATGAGAGGAAACCCTCATGTCCGATTTTCAAAGGGGGAGATCCATCTTATTGGATCCTATCCAAATTTTTCTTTTGCTAGGCCCGTAGTTAAAAAACCAACTTCTTACGATTACGAGGTTCATTCGACTATGAAATCCAATCCTGGAGATACAGTCTCCCACTCTTTTTTGCTACTCAAGGTTTGGATACATTTCGAAATAGAGAAATTTCTAGTGGAGCGGGTGCTATACGAGAACAATTAGTTGATCTGGATTTAAGAATGATTATGGATTCATCGTTGCTAGAATGGACAGAATTAGGAGAAGAGGGGTCCACTGACAATGAAAATGAATGGGAAGATCAAAAAGTTGGAAGAAGAAAGAATTTTTTGGTTCGACGCATGGAATTAGCTAAGCATTTTATCCGAACAAATATATAACCAGAATGGATGGTATTATGTCTCTTACCAGTGCTTCCTCCCGAATTGAGACCAATTATTCAAATAGATGGCGGTAAACTAATGAGTTCGGATATTAATGAACTCTATAGAAGAGTTATCTATCGGAACAATACTCTTATTGATCTATTAACAACAAGTAGATCTACACCAGAGGAATTAGTAATGTGTCAAGAAAAATTGGTACAAGAAGCCGTGGATACACTTCTTGATAATGGAATCCGCGGACAACCAATGAGGGACGGTAATAATAAAGTTTACAAATCGTTTTTCCGATATAATTGAGGGCAAAGAGGGAAGATTTCGAGAGACTCTTCTGGAAAACGAGTTGATTATTCGGGGCGTTCTGTTATTGTCGTAGGTCCATCACTTTCATTACATCGATGTGGATTGCCCCGCGAAATAGCAATAGAGCTATTTCAGACGTTTCTAATTCGTGGTTTAATTCAAAACCATTTTGCTTCGAACATAGGAGTTGCTAAGAGGAAAATCCGGGAAAAAGAACCCATTGTATGGGAAATACTTCAAGAAGTTATGCGGGGGCATCCAGTATTGCTGAATAGAGCGCCTACTTTGCATAGATTGGGCATACAGGCATTTCAACCCATTTTAGTCGAAGGACGTGCTATTTGTTTACATCCATTGGTGTGTAAGGGATTCAATGCAGACTATTGATGGGGATCAAATGGCTGTTCATGTGCCTTTATCTTTGGAGGCTCAAGCAGAAGCTCGTTTACTTATGTTTTCTCATACGAATCTCTTGTCTCCGGCTATTGGGGATCCCATTTGTGTACCAACTCAAGATATGCTTATTGGACTTTACGTATTAACTAGCGGAAATCGTCGAGGTATTTGTGCAAACAGGTATAATTCGTTTAATTCCCGAAATTCTCACAATGAAAAAATTAGCAAAAATAACTTGAAGTATATGAAAAAAAAAGAACCCTTTTTTTGCAATTCCTATGATTCAATTGGAGCTTATAGACAGAAAAGAATAAATTTCGATAGTCCTTTTTGGCTCCGGTGGCGAATAGATCAATGCATTATGTCTTCAAGAGAAGTTCCTATCGAAGTTCACTATGAATCTTTTGGTACCTATTATGAGATTTATGGGGATTATTTAGTAATAAGAAGTATAAAAAAGAAATTCGTTGTATATACATTCGAACCACTATTGGTCATAATTCTTTTTATCGAGAAATCGAAGAAGCTATACAAGGTTTTTCTCGAGCCGATTCATATGGAATCTAATCATATAAATGGTTAGTGTTGGTATCCACGCTAAGTCAATTTATGATACTGGTGTAAATTCAGGTCAACTAGCATCTTTTCAATTTTCAACGTGAATAAACATAAAGAAAAGGAAGTATTCCAATCATTAACTCAAATCCATGTCGAACCGAATAACACTGAGTGGAATATGGAGGTACTTATGGCAGAACGGGCCGATCTAGTCTTTCACAATAACGTGATAGGTGGAACTGCCATTAAACGACTTATTAGCAGATTAATAGATCATTTCGGAATGGCATATACATCACACATCCTAGATCAAGTAAAGACTCTAGGATTCCATCAAGCTACTGCTAACATCTATTTCATTAGGAATTGATGATCTTTTAACAATACCTTCAAAAGGATGGCTAGTCCAAGATGCTGAACAACAAAGTTCCATTTTGGAAAAACATAATCATTATGGAAATGTCCATGCGGTAGAAAAATTACGCCAATCCATTGAAATATGGTATGCTACAAGCGAATATTTGCGACAACAAATGAATTCCAATTTTAAGGATGACTGACCCCTTTAATCCAGTCCATATCATGTCTTTTTCAGGAGCAAGAGGAAATGCATCTCAAGTGCACCAATTATTCGGAATGAGAGGATTAATGTCAGATCCACAAGGACAAATGATTGATTTACCCATTCAAAGCAATTTACGTGAAGGACTGTCTTTAACAGAATATATAATTTCTTGCTACGGAGCCCGTAAAGGGGTTGTAGATACTGCTGTACGAACATCAGATGCTGGATATCTTACACGTCGACTTGTTGAAGTGGTTCAACACATTGTTGTACGGCGAACAGATTGCGGTACCATCCGTGGGATTTATGTAAAACACCCGAAATGGAATGATGCCAGAAAGAATTTTGATACAAACATTAATTGGTCGTGTAGTAGCAGACGATATATATATAGGTACACGGTGCATTTGTCGTTAGAAATCAAGATATTGGAATAGGACTTATCAATCGATTCATAACTTTTCAAACACAACCAATATTTATTCGAACCCCTTTACCTGTAGGAATACGTCTTGGATCTGCCGATTGTGTTATGGGCGGAGTCCTATTCATGGGGACCCTGGTAGAATTGGGAGAAGCTGTAGGGATTATTGCTGGTCAATCTAATGAGAACCGGGAAACTCAACTAACATTAAGAACTTTTCATACTGGTGGAGTATTCACAGGGGGTACTGCTGAATATGTGCGAGCCCCCTCGAATGGAAAAATAAAATTTAATGAGGATTTAGTTCACCCTACACGGACACGTCATGGATATCCTGCTTTTATATGTAATATAGACTTCTATGTAACTATTGAAAAGTGACGATATTATACATAACGTCATTATTCCACCAAAAAGTTTTCTATTAGTTCAAAATAATCAATATGTAAAATCAGAACAAGTGATTGCGGAGATCCGCGCGGGAACATCTACTTTAAATTTGAAAGAGAGGGTTCAAAAACATATTTATTCTGACTCAGAAGGGGAAATGCATTGGAGTAACCGATGTGTACCATACATCACAATTTATATATAGTAATGTACATATCTTACCAAAAACAAGTCATTTATGGATATTGTCAGGAAAGTCGTGCAGGTCTAATACAATCCATTTTTTACTTCGCAAGGATCAAGATCAAGTTACCATGGATTCACTTTCTAATGGAAAAACAAATATTTCGAATCTTTTAGAAAGGAATGATCAAGTAAAACATAAATTCAATACTTTTGGTACAAAAGAAAAGTGGATTAGCGATTCTTCAATATTGAATCAAATCATATGTACAGATCATTCTGATTTAATGTAATCCTGCTATTTTGAACGATACTTTATTATTTCTTGGCGAAAAGGCGAAGAAATAGATTTCTTATTCCATTTCCATTCCAAACGATTCAAGAACGAAAGAACGAACTAATGTCCCCTTCCGGTGTCTCCATTGAAATACCTATCAATGGTATTTTTCATGAAAATAGTATTTTTTGCTTATTTCAATGATCCTCAATACATAAGACAGAGTTCAGGAATTACTAAATATACAACTATAGGAATTCATTCTATTTTTCAAAAAGAAGATTTCAGTGAGTATCAAGGAATCGAAGAAGTAAAGCCAAAATACCAAATTCAAGTAGATAAAATTTTTTTTATTCCCGAAGAAGTGCATATTTTACCCGAATCTTCTTCCCTAATGGTACGGAATAATAGTCTTGTTGGAATAGGAACACCAATCACTTTCAATATAAGAAGTCGAGTAGGCGGATTGGTCCGATTAGAAAAGAAAAAAAAAAAATAGAATTAAAAATATTTTCTGGAAATATCCATTTTCCCGGAGAGATGGATAAGATATCCCGACACAGTGCCATCTTGAGACCGCCCGGAACGGTAAAAAAAAAAAAAATGCAAGGAATCAAAAAAATTTAAAAATTGGATTTATGTCCAATGGATCGCAACTACCAAGAAAAAGTATTTTGTTTTGGTTCGACCTGTAATTTTATATGAAATACCGGACAGTATCAATTTTGTAAAACTTTTTCCCAAGATCTATTCCAGGAAAAGGATAATCTGGAACTAAAAGTTGTCAATTATATTCTTTATGGAAATGGAAAATCCATTCGGGGAATTTCCGACACAAGGATTCAATTAGTTCGGACTTGTTTAGTCTTCAATTGGGATCACGGGAAAAAAAGTTCTTCTATTGAGGAGGCCCCCGCTTCCTTTATTGAAGTAAGTACAAATGGTTTGATTGAGTATTTTCTAAGAATTGACTTAGTCAAATCTAATACTTCATATATTAGAAAAAAGAAATGACCCGTCTGGTTTAGGATTGATCAGGGATAATCAATCGGATCGAATCAATCCTTTTTTTCTATTCATTCCAAGGGAAAAATTCAACAATCACTTAGCCAAAATCACGGAACTATTCGTATGTTGTTGAATAAAAAGAAAGAATGCCGATCTTGGATATTTTTGTCATCATCTAATTGTTTTCAAATGAGACCATTCAACAATGTAAAATATCACAATGGAATAAAAAAAGATCCTATAATTCAATTAATAATAATAATTCGTTCGGCCCTTTAGGAATAGCCCTTCAAGTTGCGAATTTTTATTCACTTTATCATTTAATAACTCATAATAAGATCTCAATCATTAAAAATTTGCAACTTGACAAATTCACTGAAATTTTTCAAGTAATTAAATATTATTTAATGGACGAAAATGAGAAAATTTTTAAACCCGATCTATACAGTAATATTGTTTTGAATCCATTCCATTTGAAATGGTTTTTTCTCCATCATTTTTATTGTGAAAAAAACGTTTACAATAATAAGTCTTGGACAATTGATTTGTGAAAATATATGTATAGCTAAAATGAAAAATGGACCACACCTAAAACTAAAATCGGGTCAAGTTATAACAGTTCAAATGGATTCTGTAATAATAAGATTGGCTAATCCTTATTTGGCGACTCCAGAAGCAACCATTCACGGCCATTATGGGGAGATCCTTTCTCAAGGAGATATTTTAGTTACATTCATATATGAAAAATCGAGATCCGGTGATATAACACAAGGTCTTCCAAAAGTGGAACAGATATTAGAAATACGTTCGATTGATTCAATATCCATGAATCTAGAAAAAAAGAATTGATGCTTGGAACGAGTGTATAACAAAAATTCTCGGCATGCCTTGGGGATTCTTGATTGGTGCTGAGCTAACTATAGCGCAAAGTCGTATTTCTTTGGTTAATAAAATCCAAAAGGTTTATCGATCCCAGGGAGTACATATCCATAATAGACATATCGAGATTATTGTGCGTCAAATAACATCCAAAGTCTTGGTTTCAGAAGATGGAATGTCTAATGCTAATTTTTACCTGGCGAACTAATTGGATTATTGCGAGCAGAACGAATGGGGCGTGCCTTGGAAGAACCCATTTGTTACCGAGCTTTATTATTGGGAATAACAAAAACATCTCTGAATACTCAAAGTTTCATATCTGAAGCGAGTTTTCAAGAAACTGCTAGAGTTTTAGCAAAAGCCGCTCTTCGGGGTCGTATTGATTGGTTGAAAGGTCTTAAAGAGAATGTTGTTTTAGGGGGGATGATACCCGTTGGTACCGGATTCAAAAGAATAATGCACCGTTCACGGTCAAGGCAACATAACAAGATTACCCGAAAAAAAAATTATTCGAAGTAGAAATTAGAAATCTTTTGTTCCATCACAGAAAATTCTTTGATTTTTATCATTTCAAAGAATTTATGTGATACATTATTAGAAATATAGGATTAAAATGGTTCCTAAAAGCGGATTCGACTCAGCCCCTTAAAAATCTTTAAATGCAGTCATTTGATTTGGTAATAAAGTAGAATAAAAAATAATAATAAATAGAAATAAAAGAATGGCCTGATTCTATCTTAACGGCCAATCGTCTATAAAAGAGAAGGTTCCATCGGAACAATTATTTATTGCTATTTCAGGATACTGGGTCTCTCTTTATTTTTTTCAATTTTTTTTTTTTTAAAAAAGTGTGGGGATAAATGACAAAAAGATATTGGAACATCACTTTTGAAGAGATGATGGAAGCTGGGGTTCATTTTGGCCATGAGCCTAGGAACTGGAATCCTCGAATGGCACCTTTTATATACGGGAAAACGTAAAGGTATTCATATTACAAATCTTACTAAAACTGCTCGTTTTTTATCAGAAGCTTGTGATTTGGCTTTTGATGCAGCAAGCACAGGAAAACAATTTTTAATTGTTGGTACAAAAAAAAAAGCAGCCGATTCAGTAACACGGGCTGCAATAAGAGCTCGATGTCATTATGTTAATAAAAATGTCTCAGAGGTATGTTAACGAATTGGTATACTACAGAAACGAGACTTCGTGAGTTCAGGGACTTGAGAACGGAGCAAAAGACGGGAAACTGAACTCTCTTCCAAAAAGAGATGCCACTATGTTGAAGAGACCAATTATCTCATTTGGAAAGAATCTAGGCGGTATAAAATATATGACAAGATTACCTGATATTGTAATAATCCTTGATCAGCAAGAAGAATATACGGCTCTTCAAGAATGTATCACTTTGGGAATTCCAACGATTTCTTTAATTGATACAAATTCTGACCCAGATCTTGCAGATATTTCGATTCCGGCTAATGATGATGCTATAGCTTCCATCGGATTAATTCTTAACAAATTAGTTTTTGCAATTTGTGAGGGTCGTTCTAGCTATATACAAAAAAATTGATTAATAATAAGATAAATCAATTTTTCGATTTGGTTGGGCGTGCGGTCATAGATTTTTGGAATTGGTTATTATAGCATTACAAAATTGTGTAAAAAGAAATATTTTGTGATTAGTTAGGTATTCAAAATAGAAAATCAAAGTAAAATAAGGAAATGGTTGAATCAAAATAATTCCCTTTCAAGGTATATTTTTTTATTTTAGGAGACAGGGCAATATGAATGTTCTATTATGTTACATCAACACATTAAACAGATTCTATGATATATCTGCTGTGGAAGTAGGACAACATTTCTATTGGCAAATAGGGGATTTTCAAGTGCATGCTCAAGTACTTATTACCTCTTGGGTTGTAATTGCTATCTTATTAATTTCAACCATTCTAGTTGTTAGAAATCCGCAAACTATTCCCACGTCTGGTCAGAATTTTTTTGAATATGTCCTTGAATTCATTCGAGACGTGAGCAAAACTCAGATTGGAGAAGAATATGGTCCATGGGTTCCGTTTATAGGAACTCTGTTTCTATTTATTTTTGTTTCGAATTGGTCAGGGGCCCTTTTGCCTTGGAAAATTATAAAGTTACCTCATGGAGAGTTAGCTGCACCCACAAATGATATAAATACTACTGTTGCATTAGCTTTAACTTACGTCAGTAGCCTATTTCTATGCGGGTATTTCAAAAAAGGGATTGGCCTATTTTGGTAAATACATCCAACCAACGCCAATCCTTTTACCGATTAACATCTTAGAAGATTTCACAAAACCCTTATCGCTTAGTTTTCGACTTTTTGGAAATATATTAGCGGATGAATTAGTAGTTGTTGTTCTTGTTTCGTTAGTACCTTTAGTAGTTCCTATACCTGTTATGTTCCTTGGATTATTTACAAGTGGTATTCAAGCTCTTATTTTCGCTACTTTAGCTGCGGCGTATATAGGTGAATCCATGGAAGGGCATCATTGACTAGTTATCAAAATCGTGTTTAGCCCGCAACAAAGTATGTGTGGCTCGCGATAATATACTTAAGGAATATTAATAAAAAAATACAAAGAAATTTTAAAAAGGTTTAATAACAATCAAAAAGTAGAAAGAAAATTAAAACAATTACCAGGGAATTGTAAAAAAAAAAATAGAGATTAAATAAATTAACAAAGGTTGAGGGGGTCAAACTAGGTGTATATATAATCTAATCGTTATAAAGACAGCTGGGGGATTTCCAAGAATGATTGATTGAATCTAAGATACAACTCATTGGTTTACGGTATGGAACAAACACATGTATTATGTCATAGTAGTATTTCATTAGTTATATATGACGATCTATCTTAATTTGTTCTGCTACTACTCTAAATTTAGGTAGGGATTCAAAAAAAAGATTCCATCTCTTGTAATTCTGAATTGAATATAAAAAAATGACTAAAAAAATGAAATCAAAGAAAAAAAAAAGTTTAAAATGTAAGATAAGACCAAAAATTGTATGTATTCACAAAAAACTACAAGGGTAGAAACGAAAAAAGTGAATATCGAAGTAATTGGGATAATTCAATAAAAATTATTAAGTTTGAAATTTTGAATACACTTCGACTAGATAAAGAGAAATATGAAGAAATGAAATAATTAAGTCATAAATTTTTTGTTGATTTATATTATTAACTATTTTTTTATTTTCTTTGGAATAGGAGAAACTTATCATGAATCCACTGATTGCTGCTGCTTCTGTTATCGCTGCTGGGTTGGCCGTCGGGCTTGCTTCTATTGGACCTGGAGTTGGTCAAGGCACAGCTGCAGGGCAAGCTGTAGAAGGGATTGCGAGACAACCGGAAGCAGAGGACAAAATACGGGGTACTTTATTACTTAGTCTGGCTTTTATGGAAGCTTTAACTATTTATGGGCTGGTTGTAGCATAGCTCTTTTATTTGCCAATCCTTTTGTTTAATAAAAAAAAATACATCTTGTTTTTTCCATGGACTTTCGTTGCTGCTCTTGCTTTTTTTTTCATTCTATTTAGATTTTACTCCTACAATTTTTTCCTTCATTCGGATTAACATACTGATTCGCCTTCTTCCGTCCCTTTTTTAGTCCACTGACCCCCTTAATTTTGATTTAGAAAGTGTTGAAAACCAACTAAGTATTTTGCAATTGACATAAGAACTAGTATTTCCTTCTAAGAAGTATCATTCTTATAGGGACTCTTTCATTGACTAACCAATTTTAGTATATTTTTATTCTTACTATATACTCATTTTAGTAAGAATAAAAATATACTAATTTGATATATTCATATTAAATAATTAAAAAATTAGATTATAGAATAAACTATCATAAACAAATAAAAAAAAACTTGGAATCGTAAAAAGAAATTTTGTCTATCCATAAGAGGAGATGCGATCATATGAAAAATATAACCGATTCTTTTCTTTGCTTCATTTTACTGGCCATCCGCCGGAAGTTTCGGGTTTGATACCGATATTTTAGCAACAAATCTAATAAATCTAAGTGCAGTGCTAGGTGTATTGATTTTTTTTGGAAAGGGAGTGTGTGCGAGTTGTTTATTTCAAAGAATAGATTGGATACAACCAACTGCACTTTTTTTGTTATAACTAGGAAAATGTGCATGATCCGGCGAATGACTTCTTACAAAATAACGAAAAAAAAATAGTTAAGAACCATAGCATTTCGCGATTCATTGGGAAATCTACTTTGATTCTCTATCAACCAAGAATTTGGAACATTACCATGGTTAAAGCTAACCAGTTTGAAGTTTCGACGCAGTCTAGTATTCTTTCTACCACTATGTTAATAGTGAAATTCGAATTTTTTCGATATAGAACACTCATGTCGAAAAACTGCCTTGAATTCTCTTTATGATGGATGAAAAATAGGAAAAAGGTGTTGTGTTTAACGCCTCCGTTTCTACTTTTCTACCAATGCAGAATTGATGACCTACGTATAAATTAATGAGAATTCTTTGGATTTCAAGAAAAAAAAAAACTACTTTGCTGACAATTATTTGTTTGGTCAGAAGAGTCCTCCAAAATATTGGGGTCATGTATTGATAATCATTTTCAAGATTTTTCGAAATAGAGAAAAGAGGATAGGCTCATTCCATAATAAATATGTGGAAATTTCCTATAAGGAATTGAGTGTGAGAGCCAAATGAATTGAAAGATTCATGTTTGGTTCGGGAAGAGATCATAGACATTTTGAAATGAATGGAAAGAGAATCTACTTTCATTAAGTGATTTATTAGATATCGAAAACAGAGAATCTTGAGAACTATTCGAAATTCAGAAGAACTACGGGAAACAGCCATTGAACAGCTGGAAAAAGCCCGGTCCCGTTAAGGAAAGTAGAAATGGAAGCAGATCGGTTTCGAGTGAATGGTTATTCCGAGATAGAACGAGAAAAATTGAATTTAATTAATTCAATTTATACAACTTTGAACAATTCGAAAATTACAAAAATGAAACCATTCATTTTGAACAACAAAGGGCAATTAATCAAGTGCAACAAAGGGTTTTTACAACAAGCATTACAAGGAGCTCTGGGAACTTTGAATAGTTGCTTAAACAACGAGTTACATTTACGTACGATCAGTGCTAATATTGGTATGTTTGGGGCGATGAAAGAAAAAAATAACTGATTAGTTGTTCTACTATAATTGAGAGTATAGGCAGGCAGGCCTTCTTTTTGTTTTTCTTCGAAAAAGAATCAAATTCAGAAATATCATGGTAACCATTCGTGCAGATGAAATTAGTAAAATTATCCGTGAACGTATTGAGCAATATAATACCGAAGTAAAAATTGTAAATACAGGTACCGTACTTCAAGTAGGCGATGGCATTGCTCGTAATTTATGGTCTTGATGAAGTAATGCGGGTGAATTAGTAGAATTTGAAGAAAGTACAGTAGGCATGCTTTGGAATTTGGAATCAAAAAATGTTGGTGTTGTATTAATGGGTGATGGTTTGATGATACAAGAGGGAAGTTCCGTAAAAGCAACAGGAAGAATTGCTCAGATACCGGTAAGTGAGGGTTAATTTGGGTCGTGTTGTAAATGCCCTAGCTAAACCTATTGACGGTCGAGGAGAAATTCAGCTTCGGAATCCTCGGTTAATCGAATCTCCCGCTCCCGGTATTATTTCCAGACGGTCCGTGTATGAGCCCCTTCAAACGGGACTTATTGCTATTGATTCTATGATCCCTATAGGGCGTGGCCAGCGAGAATTGATTATTGGGACAGACAAACTGGTAAAACAGCAGTAGCTACAGATACGATTCTCAATCAACCTGGGACAAAATGTAGTATGTGTTTATGTAGCTAATGGTCAAAAAGCATCTTCTGTGGCTCAAGTCGTAACTTCTTTACAAGAAAGAGGAGCAATGGAATACACTATATAGTGGCTGAAACAGCAAATTCCCCAGCTACATTACAATACCTCGCGCCTTATACAGGAGCAGCTCTGGCTGAATATTTTATGTACCGTGAACGCCACACTTTAATCATTTATGATGATCCCTCCAAACAAGCACAGGCTTATCGCCAAATGTCTCTTCTATTACGAAGACCACCAGGTCGCGAAAGCTTATCCGGAGATGTTTTTTATTACATTCGCGTCTTTTGGAAAGAGCCGCTAAATTAAGTTCTCAGTTAGGTGAAGGAAGTATGAACTGCTTTACCAATAGTTGAGACCCAATCAGGAGATGTTTCAGCTTATATTCCTACTAATGTAATTTCTATTACAGGACGGCCAAATATTCTTATCTGCCGATTTATTCAATGCTGGATCAGACCCGCAATTAATGTGGGTATTTCCGTTTCCAGAGTTGGATACGGCGCTCAAATAAAAGCCATGAAACAAGTAGCTGGTAAATTAAAATTGGAATTGGCACAATTCGCAGAAATAGAAGCTTTTGCACAATTCTCTTCAGATCTCGATAACGCCACGCAAAATCAATTGGCAAGAGGTCAACGATTGCGCGAGTTGCTTAAACAATCCCAAT